CATAAGGAGCTCTCAGAAGATCAGAAAGCAGGCCCACTTCGCCTGGCTATAGAGCCGAACATATACAGGTGCATCTCATACCGTTGAAATGTAATTATTTTCCATATTCAAATGACTGTATATGATTATTTTGCATATTCAAATGACTGTATATGTTCGGCTGTATATTCTAGATGCAGTAACCATAAAGTGATATATTACATGCTGTTTTTGTTCAAATCTTGATGAATACAGCTTACAGCTCATAATATATCCAGCATCTCATATCTGAATAAAGAATATATAATATATTAGTGAATTGAGTCATTATTTATAAAATTGGCAGTAGTTTTACTTGTCATTTTGATATACTTCCTATTCAAACTAATTTCATGTATGTTTTTATGGAAAACAAAGAAAGTGTTTAACCCGTTTAACGGGTGGTTAGAGTTAAACACCCTAACAACGTAGTTAACAATTGTGAACTGGGTCATTTATACAGAACGAGCCATGTTCTTTCAAAGGAAACACACATTAGCAAAGAAAGTCAGCTTGCTAAACAGCAATCTAGCACCTGGCTAGCCAGCCAATCAGCAAGCTAGATAACAGCCAAGCACCAAGGTCTATTGGCCCCCACTATTGCACCCCACACAGCTCTGACACTGGTCCAATGAGAACGGCTCAATACTTTTGCAACCTGAAATACTGGGCAGGAGGTCTTTTCATCTTTAATCATACAGAGAAATAAATGGGAGAAAGCCCTCTTCTATCCAGGAACATAAACATGTATAGTTAGTGGTTCACGGGAGCAGAATGGCAAGTTCCAAAACATTCTGGGGGCAGCCACCACCAGGGCCTTGTTCCACTTGAGCGTGCTGGGGGAGAAGAAAACGCAAAAAGAAGAAGATGCAGTGGAAGAATCTTAAGCGGTTGGAGAGGGAAAAGCGGCAGCAACGAGGCAAGAGGTGGACAACCCCAACCCATACCGCACACTACCCAGAAGGTGGAGAAGGAAAGCCTGGAAGATGCAGGCACATCCCTGGGCTGAAGACACAGAGAATGACAGAGGGTTTTGGTGTATTCCTTACCCTTTTCCGTTGCCAGGGAACGAGGGCGACGGAGACCCTGCTGGAGAACGGCACTCGGGTGTGGGGGGGGGGCGACTGTTCCCCGGCAGAGCCGAAGGCAGAAGCGGCAAAGGCCAAATGAGCCGCACATACCAAACGGGTTTGTACACCTGGCAACCACAGCTTGAGTGAGGGACCAGTTGAGAGGCCCAGAAGCTTCTGGAGACAAGCAGCTGGGCCTTTGGAATAGGTTATTTAAAACAAATAAAAACAACTTACTAAGAATGGCAGATGGTAAAGTTCACATTAACATACTTATTCTTTTTATTCCAGCGGGGTAATCATGTGACTGTTGTTCCCGTCGAAGAATATTGTAAATAACGAGGGCATTTAACCGACAAAATCAAACCTCGGTCCAATGTCTTCTCACATTGTTGAAGTGCCACGTTATTCCCTGGCAACACAACGTCGGGGAGTTTGTTAACGCTTATATATTCAAAATATATTCAAAACAGAACATTCTCACAAAGGTATTTGTTTAGGAGTCTTAAATTGTATCTAAGAAAGAATCTGCCTTGCACATTAATAACATAGGCCAAACGTATAAACAGAACCTAGAAATGCAATGCATTTTGAACATTTCACACGACCAATGTGACAAATCCTTGGGAGTGATTACAGTCCATTGTCACCGCTAACCTTAGATGCCGAGGCTATTAGAGAAGGTAATGTCCTCGAGGCAACACACAATGCATGAGGGTAGGCACATTGTAATAACAGTAGCCCGATGCAACATGCTACATCTAAAATAACGGTAGTACACAAAAAAACGGTGTTTCCTAAACCTGGTCCTGGGGACCCCCGAGGGGACCACAATATTATTTTTGCCCATGAACTTACACACATTTCAAATGAAATACTTGACAATTATGTCGACTAAGTGAGTTTGTGGTAGTGCAACATGTGAATCAGCCAAATACAGTATTTTTTTACGTTGTGCTTTTTACACCTCTTACTGTTGGCCAACGAATCTTTTACACAGTCTGGATTGAGACGTGCCATTGTTTTCAGTAGTGTCATACCAGAGCAGAAACTGCTACATTGACTCGGTCTTGTGTATAGAGCACACTTCTCCGAAACCATTAGCTTTTAGACAATGCATTCACCAATTTTCTTCAATATTGCTGACCAGCAGATGGAACAACTCTGAGAATGTTTAACTTCTTCCAATCTGTCCGAAAAATGAAAATACAACACTTACCAAGCCTTCAACATTTGGTCTGGGAGGGGTTTCTTGAAATGTAATATCTTCTAAAAATGATGTGATAATTGCTACATTCCAACTGTCTTTGAAATAAATGTTTTCAGATCTCTATGGGAGGCATGATTAGATTTGAAGGTAAGCTCTCGCGTGACCAGCAATAGCACGATGGTTTACAGGGCTTGCATTTAATGACTGATTTTACGATACAGACTAGCAAGGCTAATGGTTAGCATTGTGCACTTTAAAGATTGGACATCGTGGTGAAAACAATCATTTTCCAAACAGAAATGAGAACACAGATAACTGACGCATATTAAAAGCAATAACACACTAACAGATGCTCATGCACTGTAAAGTGCACATAAATACATGAAACAAGAATCTACTAATTTGATATCCCATTGAGTAAGGTGCGGAAGGTTGCCGTGTTGAATAACATCAAGCGAGAATGAAAAACTCAACGGGGTACCGCAGCAAATCAGGGCACATGCCTTTGGCGCCCCGTGGATATTTCACCGTCACTACTACATTTTTTTTTGATCGACTAACTATCGGTGCAAAAACTCAATTTAATAAGATTTTTTTATCATCGATTTAATCATTGTTATTTGTGTAGTATACAAATTATTTTCAATAATTAATTAACGCCCTGAATGTTTTCATCCTGTGAAAAAAAGATAGATAAATAACACTGTTTTGAGGTTGTGGTCCCCAGGTGGGAGTCTGATTGGTTAATGAAGAGGGGCGGCCATGATGGCCTTAGACACAATGACAAACAAAATCAAAAGCAACTGCATTGCAGGGTTTAATCCCCCGGTTCCCTGAAACCATGGTCACTTTCTACCACCTGCACGCACGCATCCACACATTCACACACGCACGCGGACACACACACACGCACGCGCACACACACACACACACACACACACACACACACACACACACACACACACACACACACACACACACACACACACACACACACACACACACACACACACACAGTGTAGTTGACTGAGGCTGGTCATTACTACAGAGGGCCCAGATGAAGAGAGCCAGTCATCTGATCCAGTCCCATCCATTATTCATCTTGCTGGGGGAAAGTCGGCTCCTCTGAGACGTCCAGGAACCCCATCTATCCTCATGAGTGCAGGAAAGACACACACGAGTGGAAGGGAGCCAGCAAAACTGAGAGAAGCAGACACAACAAAAGTTTAGATGTGTGTTTTTCTCGGAAATGTAACTAAATTCACATTCCTGTCATTTAGCCGACTGTTATCCAGAGCATGTTGGATACTTATTTGAAGTAACAAATGTTGACGTATCAAATAAAGATAATATCTACGCAGTAATAAAACAAAGACTGTGCTTATGTCCAAAGACACCAAACTCAAAGAAAAGGGTCACAAATGATCTCCAATTTGGCTCTTGGAGAAATGAAAAAAGCAAAAACTTGGCCATTACAGAATGTGTGCGATACAATTTATTTCCGGTACGTTTATCTTATTTGCTGGCAAAGACAGTAGCAAGTAGCAAACACTGTTCGTAAGTCACGGCAACACATATATGAGTGGCAGGCTGGGCTGGCAAGCTGCCAGAGATAATGACATCAGAAATGAATCTGAAGGGAGGGAATTCATTCAATCCGCGGCGATAGAAACTGCTCGACATTGGAATGAAGTTTTAAATGCTATCTGCTCATCCCCTCGAATGAGGATTGACACAAAGTCCCACTGAATTGATTGCGCAATTAGCTGCACGGCCATCTTTTTGACACCACAAAAAGATAAATGAGATTCAACGTTATCATGCAGACTCGTTCATATAGTTCATACACACATGCTTGTGACAGAATTTCACCCAGGTTGGACTCAGGTTGGAGAGTAAGTATATTTGTCGAAGATAAGCTTAAGGGAGTTATTTTACAGTAATTGACGGATGATAAGTGAGAGAGAGAGAGAGAGAGAGAGAAGAGAGGCAGACAGACAGACAGAACAACCGTGAGATGGAAAGTATTGAAAGGGGGCTTTGTTTAAACACAACCCTTTTGATACATGTGCTAAAAGGCTTTTACACAAATTACCTATATATCGTACCGAAGTACATGTATTGGTGATTCTAGTAAGTCAAGCGACAAACTGTTTTACTCAGGGGATAACACAGGGGGCGCTCTGTGAGTGACAAATGTTAAATGCAATTTCAAACTCTGTGGATAGCCTGGTCTGTTTTTGTAAAAAAAAACTATATCTGCATTATGTTTTTCAGGATAATGATCTATAGTCGTGATTGACTAAAGTGATTTGGAAAACAAAACGTGAACACGCTGCAATTACACTATTGCTTTCCTTGTAGCCTAATAAAGAGAGAATATGAATTGATTCATCATTAACAGCAACTTCATACAGAACACACATATGTTTCGGATATTAATTTATTTTAACAAAACGTTACAGTGCGATATCCGTGACAATATCACACTGAAAATAACAAAAAATCTAAAATAATTAGTTTTGATATTATATATCAAAATTGGACTGGCAATACATAACATGTAGGCTATAATACTTGGGGTATAGTATATATAGTAATAGTAAAATAATATATTATATATAATAATAGAAATAGTATATTTACTCAATTTAACCAGGTAGACCAATTAATAACAATTTCTCATTCGCAACGGCGACCTGGGAAGCAGCTGGGATTTGAACCCAGACCGTCGCACATACAAAGCATGCACTCCACCACTGAGCTACCAACTGCTTCTATATAATAATATATATAGTAATACGAGTAATAGTAATAATACTATTTCCCCACATAAACTGAGGAAATTATAAAGTAAAGTCCAACATACAGTACAAGTGACTATAGAACCACGCACTCTCAGTTGTTGAAATATCCTCAGCATCTGCGCCCTCCCTCCCTCCGCTCCCTCCTCCCTCCCTTCGCTCCCTCCCTCCCTCCGCTCCCTCCTCCATCCCTCTCTCCCTCCCTCCGCACCCTCCTACCTCCCTCCCTCCCCCCGCATCCTCTGGTCCGTCTGTAGGTGATATAGCGCCGCCAGTTGCGAGCAGGTGTCCAACATGGCGCTCACGGGGAACGGATCTCTCACTATTTCTCTCTCCGTGGTCCTCGTGATTTCCGCGGCGTTTCTTCTGAAAGGTAGGTGACTAACTGCACTAATGCACGGGGGTGCAACAGAACAGTTTTGGCTTAAGGAGTGAGACACCATGCCTACAACAGGAGGTGGCTGGTAGCTCCTCATAAACCCGAGCATCGCCACAATTTGCTCATTTTAATACTTATTAATACGAATAACTTGCCAAGTCTCTGCTGTAACACTTGTTTCTGTATGTGCCATTGTTTTGGCGGTCCTTTTAACAGTCTGAAAGTGTAGCCTGTTCTATTCACTTCAAACACAGAGGAAGAGTACACGGGAAATACGATAAATAGCCCGGTTTTCATTCATTAAATGATCATAGTGTAACGACAAGTGGTCACCGCAACTTAAAATGTGCGACATATGTGCACCTGTTATGTTCCTCCGGGTAACATGTGCAGTTTTCTGGGTAAATGTACTTGAAATGCACATTAACAGTTGCAAATGTACATGAATGATCAGCAACTCCAACTCCGATTACACTCTACTAGTGAGGTGCGCGCTGTAGTGCGCTGGAAAAGCACGCAATGCAGCTACAGTAGGTTACACTCACGACCGTGTGTCTCCTCAACCGCACGGTGAACAGGTTTAGGCGCATATAGCGTCTAACCGACAATATGCATTGTGTTACAGAATATGTGCAATATGTTACTATTGACCGCTATAGTCGAATACCATATACAAACTTCACTATCTACTGAATTACTCATTTGCTGAATCGTAAGGATCAAGTTTAAAGCTGTTCTGTTCCGGTGATCTGTACTTGGACAGAGTTGTGCTTAATACTGTATAGGCAGGAGCTTACCTGACAAACAATGTTCTATTATAGGCCTACTATGTGTTGGCTATCAAATATGCTCAGCAATATTACTGAATGCCAACTGTGTGGTTAACACTCCGAAGCCGTATGTGTTTTCCCGGATGTCTTCTCCATTTCATTAATTGTTTTAATGTGCAGTAAATGTTAACATTGCCATGCATATTATTTCATGATAACCACAACGTTCCTTACTGGTCTTTGCCTGGATTTGACCTTTTATAAATGTTCCCTAGGAACTCAAAATGTAATGTGTGTGCCTGTCTAGTGTTGGATGGACGTTTTGTGTGGTTTGCTGTTGATGTTCCGACCCTTCTGGGTTACTCTACAACCGACCCAATTGTAGGAAGTACCCCCTTTTCCGGAAGGTTCCAGTAAACCTTTAGTCTTGTCAGACTTCTGAAGCACCCCCAGGTTTTGGGCCAATTTCCCCCAGGGGTCCAAATATCTTTTGTTGGTCTGTTGGATTCTAAGGATTGTTGTTCAGAATGTTTGTGGGGTCAATAAGAATACACCATTTGTTTATCAGAAGCTCATCCAACGAAGAGGGTAAGCAAAGCTGTGTACAGAGGGAGAACTGTTGAATGGGGTGCACATTGAGTAGTAGGATTCTGTAGCGGTACACTTTGACACGCTGTCAGGTCAGTGGCAGTGTGAGCTGTGGCTTTTATCAAACTGTGACAGCTTAGTTCAACAGCTCCAACAACCCTGAACTGAGTAACAAAACTGAAACATGTTTTATGTAAACCCTGCCCCCAGGTGTGATACATAAGCGATAGTCCTACACGTCCTATTTTAAATCCTGATACTAAATCAACTTACCACCAATAGGTGGCACTGAAGACTAATATATAGACTTTTAAAGCATGTTAAATTGTCACTCGCAACGTAGCTAGCAAGCTACACATTATTCCAATTACAGTCATGCATGTATTATGGTTTCTACAGTGGCACTGTAGTTACTATGTTCAGAATGTAAACAAGAACAATTCCTGCTAACTGATAATTTCTTTAGCACACATTTTTGGGATTTGATTCACCATTTTTTGGTTTAATTTATTTTACAATACAAAGTGCTTATGTTGTGACAACAGTATTATGCAAATTTGTATAACAAACCAGTTAGTATCCTTTTCATTAAACGGTCAATAACATTCTTATCGCAAAGAAAATGCGGTTTACCTAACTTCAGTGATAATTTAAATCTATTAGTCTATCCTACTGGTACAGATGGAAATGCCGACACTAAAATGTACTGTACATTTAAACACGCTTAAAGTAATATGCAAAGAGCAAAATCCATAAAATTAAGCAAAGCATCTCAATGACCATCAACAGTGAACAAAGTCAGGAACATTAATGTGACCAACAATTTTGAATGCATCCCAATGAAGAGACACAGATTTTTGGTTTTAAGAAACACAGAAACAATTATTTTCAAAGAATGCCTCGCTTTTTAGTGGACAATATGAAAATAAAAACGAGACTGCACGAGCATACAGGTACCTGCTCGCGCACACATCAACCGCCGCGTAATGTAGAACAAACTTAAAGGAGGCCGGGAAAGATGAGTCGTATTGATGGCGAAAGCGAGTTGGAATTAAGAGAAAAACCTGAGAAATTCTGTCTAAAAGGGTATCGTCAGCGATATGGCAGTGGTTTGGCTTTTTATGTTCAGACAAACCCCAGAACAATACTATTTGCAAAATATGTCGGTGAGTTGTGCTAGGACCACCAACCTGTTCTACCATTTAAACGGTACCACCCTGCGGAGCATGCAGTAAGTGTAATTCTTGCCATGTATATCTTGGTAATGATATCGAATGATATGAGAGAAATTATCGTGATAATTTTTTTTGCCGTATCGCCCAGCCCTACTTTATAGTGAGAAAGGAGTAATAGCCTAAGTGCAGAATCTGATTTAGATCTTGCTAAGCTGGACCGGGCTCGACAGATGTTCATCAAAACGGGTTGGTTTTAATCTAGAAAGCTGCAAGCTAAGGAAAATAAAACATATATTTGAAATGACTGTGCAAGGGTTTTGTAAATAATGTTTGTAAAAATCCATCGTTTACAGAGGCATTAATCAAGGTGATATGGATTACCTCTCAGATGAACTGCTGAGATAAAATGCTGAATGTAAAAAAGGTTTGAACCTTTATAATACGTTGTCCCTGTGTCTCTCCAGGGGGTTTCTCTATTATAAACCATGATCTGATCATGGTATTTCAGACGGTTACATAATGCTTTTTTATTGTCAGCTCTGGCTCATTCGTCAGAGCTGAATGATTGTGAAGTGGATCGATAGAGGCTGTCATGGAGCCTTAGGTAGGCCTGTACAGCTTTTGGAGTGTCTCTGAGAAACAAAGGAAACATACACTTGTTATTTTGCTTAGGTTTGCCCCTACTGTTTGCTATATGTGACAGAGATTGTGATTGAGGATGGCTCTGGGAGTTATCTCGGAGACTTCGGTTTCATAACTGAGTGATGTAGTTCTGCACTGTACTTTCCGTCTGTGCTTGTTTGTCACACTGATACTTCACAGGTAACTAAATTGAAATCTACCATGCCACGTATATACCAGCAGCGATGACTGTGGGTCCAGGTTGCTAATCCTGTCGACTCGACTTGTTCTGAATGTTGCAAATAGATGAAGGATATGTGAGAAGTACATCATATATGGCACTGTGCTTGGAAAAGTGGAGTGCTTCACAACTTATGCTTAAAATGTAGGTATCAATCATTGAAATTATTTGTGAAGCCCTTTTTACAACAAAGTTGTCACAAAGTGCATTTGGCAAACACCCAGCCTAAACCCAACAGGTTGGGTGTCTGGTTGGTAAACAAGTTTAAGTCATGTTTACCAACCTCGCATATGTGCCATCTAGTAAAATATTAGCCTGGCTTCACATTGGTCTAGTTCAGAGGTGTCACACCGGTTCCATGGGTGGCTGAGTGTCTGCAGGTTTTTGCTTTTACCGTGTACTTGATTAATTAGATCACTCATTGGTTAGGTTCTACCCTCACCAGGTTGTTTAGGTTTGAACTGGGCTGTAATGGTTTATTTCCTTGTTAACATTAGAATATGTACAAATAAACGAATACTGTGAAATGTAGCTATAACCAGAAAATGTAGGCAATTTAATATCAGTTTTTCTTTTTTTTTTAGACAAAGCTAACAAAATTAATGTTACAAAAAAGTGAACAACATCTTTGATTCTTGTATCAAGTAAAACTACAGTATCTAAACAACACTCACCACATACATGACTGTGAAATACAAGTGATATCTAACAAGTGACATTCCTAAGTAACTTAAATATCTCAGCTAATTGCTACCTATTTCACGGTGATAAGCTAAACAGAAACAGTTGTGCTCGCACCACAAAGTGCATCCCACAAAACTAACCACTCTCGTGACAGTACCCCTCCCTAAAGGCCTGGTTCCCAGACAGACAAGGTACAAATAATAAATTACAGGGGAGAGTAAACACCAAGGAGAGGGTTCAGCTGGCAGTCTCCCTGGTTTTAGTTTTTTAGTCCTTGGGGTAGCTTGCACCGGGGTAACCGGCACTTGAATGCCGGCAGGGGCCGTCTGGCTCTGGGAATTAGGGACATCCTCTGGGGACTCAGGCGAAGGGGACAGGGTACACTCTTCTGGGGACTCAGGCGGAGGGGACAGGGTACACTCTTCTGGGGACTCAGGCGGAGGGGACAGGGTACACTCCTCTGGGGACTCAGGCGGAGGGGACAGGGTACACTCCTCTGGGGACTCAGGCGGAGGG